CCCCCGGCCTCACCAGGTGGCGTGGCTGCAGTGCTCCAGCGCCAGCGCGAAGCTGCTCTCCCAGGGCTCCCGGGCCTCCTCGGCGGTGACCTGGGGGTGCAGGCCCGTGCGTCAGTCAGCGGGACAGAGGCTCGGGTCTCCCCAGCATGCCCGGGGCAGGGGGAGGCCCTCCCCCATACCCGGTGGAACTTGCGGCACAGACTGTCCAGGGTCTCGAGCTGGCTCTGGCGGCCGATGTTGGGCTTGTACACGGTGAAATACTCGCCACGGTTCTGCTCGGCCAGGAGGCAGCTCGTCTTGCTGCCTCGGACCTAGGGCCCAGAGAGGTGAGGCGGGTGGCACCGGGTCCCTGGGCGGTGGCTGGCAGGACGCCCACGAGGAGTGGGCCCACTCACCTTGTAGGAGAGGTAGAAGCCGTCATAGGGGCCCTGCAGCTCCAGAGACCTGGCCAGCGCCTCTTCCCACTTCATACCGCGGTCCACGCTGATCTGCGTGGCGAGTGGGGGTGTCAGCAGGTTCGGGGCCCGGAGCCAGACCGGGGCGGGGCGCCTCCCTGCTCACCTTGTAGAAGACCACCTGGCCATCCTGTGGGTGCCCGGGTGCCAGGAACACCTGCTGGCTTTCTTCATGGATCTCGTTGATGCCAGGGGCCAGGTCTGAGGAGAGGGCGGGTGGTCAGTGCCAGGTGGGGGGAGCGGACTCTAATGGACCCCAGAGATGACGCCATGAATGGGCAGAGGGCTGAGTCCAGAACCGGTGCCCTGTGGGTGGGTGTCGGGCCTCTGTCTGGGGTCCATGGTATCCAGCTGTGCACAGCTGCTCAGGGGGGCTGTGTCTGTCCACAAGGGCAGCTCTTAAAAAAAACAAACTTCTCCTTTGTGTCTCGGCATTTGTGTGCACATGAGCGTGCAGCGCCCACGGAGACCAGAGCTGCAGTGACAGGCAGATGTGGTGTGGGGGTTGGAGGGGAATTTGAGGGCGGCAAGTGCTTTTGCCTCGACAGCCTGTGTTTGCTGAGACAGGATCTCAGGTAGCCCAGGCTGGCCTTGGAGTCAGCATGTAGTGGAGGAGTCTGCCTCTACCAGTGCTGGGTTGACAGGCAAGTGCCACCGTGACTTATAAACAGCCATGTGTCTTCAGGGTCTAAAACCTCAGCTTCAGAGCGGCAACAGGGACTTATGTCCAGGGAACACAGCATGCAGAAGGCATGCAGCCGGCATGCAGAAGGCATGCTGCCGGCATGCAGCGCAGGCTGGCTCTTAGTGCAGCCCGACGCAGAACAAGCTTCCTGAGAGCAGAGTTTGGTTTGGTTTTTGTGACTGCCCTGTGTGGGTCTCAGTGTGAGCTTCCCAGGTGACCACACTGCTTCAGTGACAGCACCGTGGACCAGACTGGGGACTTGTCTGTAGCCTCTCAATGTGGACGTCACACACATGGCCGCTGGATCTCCCGAGCACGGCTCACAGGGAACTTACCCAGAATGCCCATGTCGTATCTGCCTTCCTTCTTGTCTAGCTCGATGAGGTGGTCAAAAGTGTCGGAGAAATACTGGAACAGAGCGTTCTGCTTGTGCACTTCCAGCCCCAGGATGCGGTTCAGGAACTTGGTGATGGAGCAGTCTGCGGGGAGCCGAGTCTCAGGCCGCTGGCCCCCCCTCCCAGGGGCCCTGCACCATCACCACCTTCCCAGAACTCTCCCGACTCACCCTTCTCCACATCCAAGCAGCCAGTGCGCGACTCCCGAGCGCCGATGCCCACGGACAGCAGGCTCTGCTTCATGTCTGCCAGGGAAAACCGGCCGCGTGCTGGGGGCCCAGGGCCAAGCCTGCCAAGCCCTTTCCTAGAAGCCCGCCTATGCACCCAGCCCCAAATCCTGACGGGGCCAGCCTCCCTGTAGTCCCCATGCCTCCCAGAAAGACTCACAAGCCCAGGCTCACCCCGGAAGAAGGCGGCATCCCCTCCAGGGTAGCCCTGGGGCAGGGGTACCCTGTTGTCCGTCTGGCCCAGGATGGTGGTGAGGACGCGGCTGAGAGCGCGGGTGCCATACTGTGGGGAGGCGGCGTGAGTGGGGCGGGGTAGGGGGGCCTCCCCACCGCTGCCCGACCTCTACTCACCTTGTTCTCGAAGTTATACTTGCTCAGGTCTCGGGACTCGGTGGCCCGGCGATCTCCGTGGGTCAGGGCACCCTGCCGGGATGACCCAGGACCGTTTGTGATTCAGGCTCCAGCATTCCCTGGCCCTGCCCAGGCCCCGCCCAGCCAGGCCCCGCCTGCTCACCAGGCTCTCCAGCCGCTTGGCCACAATGGAGGCGAACCTGCGCTCTCCTGCCAGCTCCGAGATGAGGAAGACGTACTCGGGGGCTGAGACCTGGTTGGACCTGTGGGTGCGGCCTGAGGACAGAAAGACTCTGTGAGACTGGGTGAGGGTCCCGGGAAGGGACAGCCTGGGGGGAGGGTGGGGGGCCAGGGCCTCACCAAACTGCTGAATGGCGCGGTCTGCGCTCCAGGGCAGCTCCAGGGTCATGTGTACCCGGCGTCGCTGGTTCTGCACCCGGCGGTCGGCTTGAAGGGACACTCCGGAGCTGGAAGCCTCCGAGATGATGGCCACAAGCTGGGGGTGGGGTGGGGTGGGACAGGGTGTTGGGCCCCTCCTCGCTGCTAAGCTCAGGCTCCCCAGGGCTACTCCCTCCAGAGTGCAGGCGCCTCCCCCTTCCCCCCATTCCCTTGCAGAGCTGTGTCGGGAGCCCCATGCGCCCCGCCCCCCTCCCTCGCTGCCGCACCAGGCCCACCTTCTCGCCACTCATGAAACGCTGCTTCTCCCTGAGGTTCACGTGGTCGATGGACAGGCCCTGTTCCGCTCTGGACTCAAAGACCACTGACCCGTCGGGCCTGGATACCACGCGGCCTTTCCTGCCTGTCATCTGTGGTTGATGGGGAGAAAGGAGACCCCAGGGGACGTTAGTGTGACGCCCGTGCACTGCGTCCCTGTTTGAGGGGCAAGGTGGCTCTGCTGGGACCCTGTGCAGAGACTTGGTTTCCAGTGTGGCCTCAGCAGCCGTAAGGACTCCGCCACCACCAAGTCTTCCCTTGCTTTCTTTTTAGAAAACAGGTCTTTTCATTTCAGGTGAAGTGCGTCTGTGTGGCCCGTGTGCTGGTGTGCTCAGGCCCACCTGAAGAGCGGGAAGTGCTCTTATCTGCGGGAGGCGCGCCCCTCTGCAGCCAGGCTCCCCTCTGTCTGTCCCTAGGCTGACCCACAGGGCCCCGAGAGCTGGCTATGGGCAGCCGGGCTCACCTCGGCCACGCACTCAGGACCCCCGAGCTGGTGGATGAGCTGGTCCAAGGTGTTCACGGGCAGCTCGCGGCCCAGCGCGCGCACCTTGGCCAGCAGGCCCTGCTTCAGCCGTTCCACACGCTCCAGGACGCCAGGGCCCTGCAGGTCTCTCTGAAGTGGGTACAGGGGACCTGGGGGTGAGGAAGAGCATCAGTGAAGTGGCCCTGCAGGACCAGGATGAGTCACGGCAGGGGAGCGGAGCATGGCATGATGGGAGTCACTCTCGGGTGTTTGACAGCACGGCCCTGACCTCAGCTGTGAGCCTCAGTTTCCCATCTGTAACATGGGCATGTGCTGGGGAGAGGACGTCATGTGGCCGGGTGACGGAGGCTCACCTCGGTCATCTGTGGGGAGCATGGGGCCGTCCACGATGACCACATCGTCATCTAGCAGTGACTCTGGGGACGAATTGAAGTCGCTGTCCAGGCCAGCATCGGACTCCGTGCTGCTGCCGTCGCTAATACGGATGACTCCCGAGGCCTCCAGCGCCAGTCTAGGAGCCTTGGGGCCGCGACCCCGAGGCCGCCCTGCAGGGAGGAGTTGGGGGTCAGCTCGTGGGGTGGGGAGGCTGCAGAAGTGGGTGGGGCTGGAGTGGCAGGCAGGCAGAGAGCAGGGGCCTGGGGCCTGGAGGACCCGGGGGCCTGGGGTCTGGAGGAGTCTTGTGTTCCCTCTAGGAAGACCCCGGCCCCACTTCTGGGCAGGACGAAGTGAACTGAGACACCACGTCCCCATCCTCAGCCCCGGCTGGCTTCATGGCCGGACTCCACAGGTAGGCACGAGGCTCAAGGGTGTCAGAGCCTCCTCCAGGGACAAGTCCGCGGACCTCATGTCAGTGCTGTAGGCTGTCAGGGGAAGAGGGCCTGGGGCTGACTCAGGGACTCGGGAGGGTCCCCGCGCTGTCCTTCACGCCTGGCCATGTGCTTGCATGGGAATTATTTGGAAATCTGCGAACTGGAAGGTAGGTGGCCGTGTCTAGCGCTGTCCTAGAGGCTTCCCTGCCTGCCAGTGGGGCTGGCGCTGGGCTCTGCCGTGCCGCTGGCGTCCTGGCCCAGACCTCTGCTTCTCGGAGCCCCAGGCGCTTGCACGCCTCGGCTGTCCACGTGCAAACTCCCGCCTGCTCGGTGCAGGGCACCGGCACGGGCAGAGGCCAGGCGGCTCTGGGGTGAGGGTGGGAGCGGGGCGCAGAGCCAGCAGGTCCTCTTACTTTTCCTCTTTCCGCCTGCCCGGTCCCGCCTCCTCCGGGTGGAAGGGAAGTGCTTCTGAATCAGGGACAGGAAGACGCCTCTGCAAGGGGAAGAGAACTCAGCACAGGCCCGGCCATGAGCACGCGGCTTCACGGAGAGGGGCGACGGGACGCACTGTGGCAAGGGCACAGGAGCCTCACTGCGGGGACGGAGGTGACTCCTGAGAGGGACGTGCAGGCCACAGCGCCAGGCCTGAGAACCCATGGAACTGTGTTGAAATGGCACTACCTGGTGTAGGCAGACGTCCAAAAGTCTCCTGTTGAGACTCCAGGACCCAGGGGCCACCCGTAAGGTTCCTGCCCCGATGGCTTTTCCTCAGCTGCTGAGGGGCAAGGGGCAGCCACAGGCCACAGCCAGGTGAGACAGCGGGGGACCTCGAGGGCTGCCCGCGCCTGCTGCACCCCTCACTTCTCACTTACTCGGCGGCGGACACGAAGCAGTCCAGGCGACCCTCATTCTCGTCCAGCACCTCGCGGGTCCGCGCCTCCCCTGTGGACTGCAGCCCGATGACCACACACTGCGGGGATGGAGAGTCTGAGCCGGGCTCCAGGGCGACTGTCCCACCTTACCACGTCCCCGAGACCCTGCCTGGCCTCCTGGCACCCCCCCCACCCGCGCACACCCCCCCAGTCCCTCAAGGCCGCCCTCACCCGCCCTCACCTTGTCCCGGCTCAGCTCCTGCCGGGCCAGCTCCACCAGCCGCTGCACCTTGGCGGCGATGCACAGGTACTTGAAGAAGCGCTGGTGTGCGGACCAGAACTGACCCCACAGGGACTTGCGGGACTCCAGGCCGATCCAGTCGGCCGCCTGCTGGAAGACGCTCAGAGCCTCGGCCCACTGCAAGAGCAAGGCCTGTGCTGAGCCTGCCTGCCTGCCAGCCGGCCTTAGGCGGGGCTTCAGGGGCAGACGGGGTGAGGGGCAGTAGGGGCGGCGACCAAAACTGCACAGTGAGGCTGTCACAGCCAAGGCACAGGGCGGAGTCAATGTGACCCCAACACTCTACATTCAGACACAAAGCTGGCAAAGAACTGTTCAAAAAATAAAAATAAAAAAGCATGGGGCTGTGAGAGGGCTGCTTCTGTTATCTGATTAAGAACCTCATGTAGGCGACTGGAGAGATGGCTCAGCGGTTAGAGCACTGGCTGCTCTTCCAGGGGTCCTGAGTTCAATTCCCAGCACCCACATGGTGGCTCCCAACCATCTGTAATGAGATCTGGTGCCCTCTTCTGGCCTGCAGGCAGAACACTCACCAGCAAAAACAAAAACAAACAAAAAGAATCTCATGTAGTCGCTAGTGGTGGTGCGCGCCTTTGATCCCTTTGATCCCAGCACTCGGGAGGCAGAGCCAGACGGATCTCTGTGAGTTCGAGGCCAGCCTGGGCTACTGAGTGAGTTCCAGGAAAGGCGCAAAGCTACAAAGAGAAACCCTGTCTCAAAAAACAAAACAAAACAAAACAAAACACAGACACAGGTGTGTGCTATGTCCGACTTGAAAGCCTCTCTCGCTGAGAAAGGGGCTTTGGGAGGCAGAGTTTCCTGTAGCTTAGGCTGGCTTTGAGCTGGATATGTAGCCAACAATGACCTGATTTCTGATCCTCCTGCCTCTACCTCCCCAGTGCTGGGATGACAGGACGCACCCTCACACTCAGTTTCAGACTTCCTACAGGGCAGGTGAACTCCAGGTGCCCTGGGCACCATGGACACCAGGCCCAGGCTCTGCAAGGTCCTGAGCATGTCCCTGGCCTCCACATCCTCCCTGCCAGAAGCTCCGAGTCAGCACTGCCACACTTGTCTGTGACATGGTCGCGACTCGGGGACAGTACTGTCCCAGGCACCTGCTGGGTAAAGAACAAGAATGTTCACTGGGGGCCTCAGGACAGGTGGTGTCCCCCCACAGATGTCCCACTCATTCTCCGAGGGCCACTGAGAGCACAGGGAGGAGGTCAGCGTGGGTCCCAGGCTGAGGGCCTGTTGCTGAGCCCGTGTGGGAACAGGAACCTGTCCATACTGAGCCTGCCACCACATGGGGGCTGGGAATGGCCACTGGCTCCATGTCACATCTAGGGTAATATGCTTGGAGTCCTAGGACATGGAGGCAGGTCCGCCTTCGTCACACAGGCGCTGAGGCAGGACTGCCAGGAGTTTAGTCCAGCTGAGCTACAGTGAGACAGGACAGTCTCCGAAAGAAAAGTAAAAGTGATAGGGGCTGGAGAGAAGGCTCAGTGGTTAGAGCACTGACTGCTCTTCCACAGGACCCGGGTTCAATCCCCAGCACCCACATGGCAGCTCACACCTGTCTGTAACTCCACTTCCAGGGGACTGGATGCCCTCACACAGACATGCAGGCAAAACGCCAAATACATATAAAAATAAATCATTTTAAAAAAGTAAGCGCCGGGCAGTGGTGGCACACGCCTTTAATCCCAGCACTTGGGAGACAGAGTCAGAAGGCAGAGGCAGGAGGATCTCTGTGAGTTGGCCAGCCTGGTCTACAAAGCGAGATCCAGGACAGCCTGGGCTGCACAGAGAAACCGTCTCTAACAACAAAAGAAAAGTAAAAGTGAAAATAAAACACAAAGAATCCCTCAGCAGGACCCATGCAGACCGGGCTCTGGAGAGCGCCTGCCCCTACCATCCACACCCACAGGTGTGGGAGAGCGGGACTGTGCAACAGACGGGCGCGGAGGAACGGGGTCCCCGCAGACAGTCCCTCCAGCTTACCAGCCGGGCTGCCCGATTGTAGACCTGCTCGAAGGCGGGGGACAGCGGGATCTCTTCGATGCGGAAGGTGACCCCTGAGAAGCTGAGCTGGCGTGCGATGTACATGCCACTGACCTTCATGTCCATGGCCACAATCTCCATGGCGCCCACGCCCCTGCAGACAGACAGGGCCTCTGAGCACTGTGCCCCACTAGGGACAGGATGGACAGGCAGGAAAGGCCAGGAGACAGAGCACAGCACGTATGCAGAGGCCCAGAGAGACGCGTATGGCCAGAGGAGAGCACAGCGGTGGACTTAAGAGAAGGGCTCATTTCTCGGGGAGAAGGACGGGAGGTGCTAGGGAGAGACAGGACGGATGTGCGTTTCCAGGGCCCTCGGGACACCTGCAGGGACAGCCACGCCCACAGCAGAGCGGGGGCTCACCTCTTCTCAATGGCGTGCAGGAACTCCTCGAAGGTCCGGAAGGGTGTGCCCTCACCCCAGATGCCCAGGCGGCTCATGTAGATCATGTTGCGGGGTTCGGAAGCACCTAGGGGTTGGAAGCAGGACGCTGGGCAGCTCACGGCACAGCTGGGAAGTGGCATGGGCCACATGCAGGCCAAGCGGGGTGCAGTGCTGTAGCCCCGGGGAGGTGGGGGGAACATGTCCAGGGGTACCCTCAAGGTCCGCCAGAGCCCATCAGCAAAGGGAAGGCTGGCTTGGAGAAAGGGAGCTCCATATTTGCCCCGGGTGCCCAGCAGAAACGGTAGAGGTCCAAGTCCTGCTCAGGGCTGGCAGGGCAGCCCATCCTGTAGGTGACTGCGCTCGCCCACCCGGCTCAGCTGCTGCCTCTACCCACCTGTGGCGCTGGCGTACACCACCCTGGCCTGCGGCAGTTTGTTCTGCAGGTCCAGCACGGCCTTGCCCATCTTGGTAGAACTGGCATTCTTGGCTTTATGGCACTCATCAAACACAATCTGGGATATGCTGGGTTAAGGAATGTTCCAGAAGGATGGAAGGTGTCCCCAGTCAATACCCCACAATGTACCAGAGGAAACTCCAGAGGCATGGGGGGGGTGTGTGCAGTGGTGGTATCTGTCACCTGAGGGGATGTGGAGGGGCTGGAGATCTGAGGAGCACAGAATAACTGGTTGGCGTTAAAAGGTGCTGGGGTGGACGATGCTGCTCTGTGGGAGCTTATTTAGCAGGCTGGAAGCTCCAAGTTCCATCCTCAGCACCACACAAGCCAGGCCAAGTGGCCCCTGCCTGCCATGGCAGCCCCTGCTGAGGGACACCCTGTCTAAAAAAAAACACCATGCACCAAGGGGGTGGGGACACGGCTCAGCAGAGCTGCCAGTTAGGACTACACGGAAACCGTAACACCAAAAAGAGAAGGACAGAAAAAACACACCGGGCAGAGGCTCCTGCCACAGCAGCGCAGACCCTGTGGGCCTCGGCCACCACCCCGGCACATCACTGTAGGGCCAGCAGCCCTCACCGTGGGCGTACACTGTGGCCTGGGTGCTGTGGGCTGCCCACTGAGGAGCCCCAGCATGGACAAGCTCTGCCCCCCCCCCCCCCGTCAGCCGGTGGCCCCCAACACTGTGGGATCTGGTCGCCTACAGGCTCGCCAGGACCAGATCAGGAGGCGCAGAGTAAGAACGGCCTGCAGGCTCTGCCCCGGGCTCAGCCCCCTGAATCAGAACAGCTCTGAAGGGTCGTGCCAGTCTGGGGGTGAAGACACAGGCCTAGTTTGGTGGGGAGCTCCCAGCCGCTGCTCAGAGCACCCCAAGGCCTCAGTCTTGCCTCGGGTCCCTTCGTGGCCCCCTCCCAGGCTGAGACCCTCTCATTCACCCCCCCTCGGTTCAGGCCCCAGTCCTCGGCCGCACCCTTCTCCACGCCCGTCTGTCCATCCATCCATCCATCCATCCATCCATCCATCCATCCATCCATCCACGCCCCGGCCACGGGATACCACGCCATCAAAGGCCTCGCCGCACCACTGCAGGATCTGGCGGAGGCGTGTGCGATGCTGCCCACCGGCCTGGCTTTCCCCGATCAGGGCGGAGTAGGTGGCAAAGAGGACGCCCTCTGAGGTAGTATTGTCGCCGTACTTGATCTGTGGACACAGATCAGACGGGGGTGCATGCAGGGACTCCACTACTCTGGTTTCTTCTTAGTAAGGGGTGGACTCATCTGGCCATGCACGGCCCACCCACCTTGCTCAAAGCGTGCACCGCGATGCCCGGGGCCTCGATGTCTCTCAGGTCCCGTTCTGCATCGTACTTGAGGTCATTGGAGGCACTGAACCTGAGGAGAGGCCTGGTCAGGTGCGCCGCTGCCTGTCCCGCTCTACCCCCCCCCCACCTGCTCCATCAGGCCAGGCAGGCGCTCACCACAAAGCCTTCTTCCGGCCCCGCAGGTAGTTCTCCACTATGATGCCAGCCACTGTGCGGCCCTTGCCCACGCCAGCTCCATCCCCAATCAGGAAACCAGCACGCTGCCCACTGGGCAGCAGGACCTCATGTTGCTGTGGGTGAGCGGAGGCGGGTCAGGCCTGGGATGCCTGGTGCCCTCCTGAAGAGCCTGGTAGGGGTGGGCGGGGCTGGCTACCTGGCAGGCGTAGGTGATGGCTTCCAGCTGCAGGGCGGACAGGGTCCCGTTGTCCGAGGTGGGTAGTGCCAGGGTGTAGGTGATGTCTGGGGGAGGAACACTGGACAGGGTACTGGTCTCCACCACACGGTCTGGATGCTGTTTCCCAATCTTAGCTGGTGAGGGGACAGAGGGGTTGGCGCACAGTAAGCAGCAGGGTAGAAGGGGCAGGATGCCAGCTGTCCACCCCACACCTGTCACTGCGGACGAGGGAAGGGCGTCTCCATGCTGTCCCTGGCGCAGACACTTACACTTGGATGGTACGTAGTCCGCATAGGTCTCAGCATGGCCCAGTTCCTCTGCCGCCTCCTCCTCCTCTGCCTCCTCCTCCTCAGGCTGGCTGTGTGACTGGAGGTGGGACAGTTCGGGGGTCTGTCCTATCTTGCAGTGACCCAGCTTCCTCCTGGGGAAGCCTTGCTGCACACAGTGCACCCGGCACAGTGGTGTGGGGTGGAGGTGGCTCCACCTTTGCCCCTAAGTGGGGCCTCAGTTTTTTCAACTGTAAAATGGGCAGGCCGCCCGGGGCCCAGCACACTAGAGATGCCTTCAGAGCCTCTCTCTAGATCCCCAGGAATACCTGGCCACCCAGTTTACCTGGTAGCTGATGAGAAGCGGGGTGCTGGAAACTGGGTCTTCCAGAGCAGAGAGCGGCGCACTCGGCAGGAACAGCTGTAAGGACAGCAGGGGAGGGTGGGTCATGGCCTCCTGTGCCAGTGCCTGTGTCCTTAGGTAGGGGCTGCTCATTCTCAGGGGCCAAAGCCCCCCACTCAACCTGGGACCTGGCGCCCCTGGTAGGATGGGCTGAGGACAGACTGTGTCCCTGTGGCGCATGGGGGACCAAGGAAAAGTCAGCAAAAGCCAGCCCAATAGTCCCAGCATGCAGACTTGGGCGCAGCAGGCCGGGCGAATGTCCCCAGGAGTCACTCCGCACCCAGCAGCTGAGGGGCGGCCCTGCAAGGCCTCCTCAGGGTGACGGTTCCCCTGTGGGTGCTCAGGTGAGAATGTCTCCAACACTGAGACCACACTCCAAATGCCACAAACCAGAGCCCTTTAAAGGAGAGATGGACGGTGAAGGGGGGGCAGGGCAGGCAGCATTGGCCACCAGTGCTGACCCTAGGCTGGACAGACGGTGTGGCCTGGCCAGTGAGGGAGTCTGTAGCCATTAAGGGGACATGGCTCTCCTTTGCAAACTAATTCTCAATAACCCCCAACCTAAACACACGGATAGATTTTAGACTTGTTTATGTTACGTGTATGGGTGCTTTCCTTACATGCACATAAGCGCATTGTGAGCATGCAGTGCCTAAGGAGGCCAGAAGGTGCTGGTCCCCGAAACTGGAGTTAGAGACGGTTGTGGCCCACGGTGGAGATTCCGGGAGCAGAGTCTGCAACCAACGGCGGCCCAGCCTCCTTTGTGTTTGTCTGGACTTTTAAATAAGGGTCATGTAGCCCAGGCTGGCCTCAACCTTCCTATGTAGCCAAGGACCCTGAAACCCCAATCCTCCGGCCTCTACCTCTGAGTGCTGGGACTATAGGAATGGCCCACACCTGGTTCACCGGTGCATGCCGGGGGACGCTCTACCCACTGAGCGCCGTCCCTGGGACTGGCAGAGTGAGGAGGGCCGCTCAGGGGCTGGTCCTGCCTGCCCTTGCTCCTGACGGCGACAGGCAGGCCTTCAGCCCTGACCTGTGGGGCTCACTGGAGGGTCAGCATCCGTGAGGGAGGACAGGAGTCCCTGGGGCACTGCAGGGACAGTCACTGTCACATGTCCCTTGCTCTGCTGGGAACAGAGCCAGGGTGTTGAAAGCCAGCGGAAGCCTGGGAAGGTTACAAGTCCACACTCAATCCTGCCTTCTCCTTCTTCTTTTTTTTTTTTTCTTTCTTAAATTAACAAAAACCCAAACAGACTGGTGGAGGTTCCTGGAAGGCTGAGTCATGTTCCGGCCTGCTGGCCTCCAGGCCTGCCGGCTGGGGCAGTGCAGGGTGTTGGGTTTCAGATAGGAGGCCTGGTCCACAGCAGCCTGGGGCCCTGGCGGGTGAGCAGCACCCTGTGGCCTTGATCTCCGAGGGAACAGGCCGCAGCGGCTCCTCACAGCAGGGGAGGGACACACAGGAGGCCTGTCCTGCTGGCCCTTACCTCAGAGCTGCAGGCCATCAAGGTCGCCCACCTGGAGACTTCTGGGGCATTCCTAACTTACACTCTCAAAGTCTAGAAGCTTCCATCTGGAAGACCCCAGGAAGGCCTGGACTGCGATACCCTGGCATCCCTAGGATCAGGGACCAGGTCAGGCTGGGTGAGGCTCTGTCCATGCCAAGGGCTCCCCAAGGAGGGATGGCTACACATGTCGTTAGTCCTGGGGGGCAAAACTCCCTGCCGGCCAAGAGCTCTCTGGGCAGTGTCCTACACGCCTCGAAGCCTGGGCATCCTACAGTCACCTGCCTGCTGATTTCTGGGGCGCTGTCCACATGGAAACCCATCCACAATGCGTGGACCGAGAGAGGAGGTCAGTCTCAGAAGCCAGGGTCCCCTGAGAGACACCGTCCGCCTCACTGTGGGGTGCTCTGTCAGGGGCCTCAGCTAAGTGGACATGAGGCCAGGTGCTCCCTGTGAGGCATCCTGGGCCCTACAGGGGCTGAGCAGGGTCACTGACCACCACCCACCCAGGCCAGGAGCCCCCCCCAACACACACACACTGGGACGGCCATGCATGTCTCCGGGGTCCACTGAGGGCAGAGTTCTTAGGGTGAAAATTGGTCACCCAATTGCCTCTGGAGTCAGACACATTGGCACACACCCATCACCCCAGCACTCAGGAGGCTGAGGGGGTGGATCAGGGGTTCAAGGTCAGCCTTGGCTACAGAGCAAAGTTGACACCAGCCTGGGCTCTGTGACCTGCTGGGGCGCTCAGCACCCGGGGCCCACTGGGGTCATCTGGAGACACGGGGTGCGTGCCGGGCCTCCAGGGCGGTGGAGACTTTCTCCAGCCTCCAGGGCAGCACAGACCCTCAGAGCCCAGGTCCCCGAGGAGGGGCTCGGGCCACAGCCCTCCCTTGCTCCACCCGTCACCGGAGAGGCTCTGGAGGGGTGGGACGGCCATGCCGACCTTGTCATGGGGGGCTGAGGTGGTGCTGACGTCCCAGATGGTGGACACCTCATTGAGGCTGTCGACATGGCCGAAGTCAGGTGTGTCAGGGATGTCTGACAGGGAATCCACAGAGGACGAGAAGATGGAGGCATTGGAGAGGTCCTCGAGGCATGAGGGGTCCTAGAAGAAAGCAGGGGTGAGGCCGTGGCTGGCAGTGTACGGGCGTCCAGGCAAGTGACCGTGTCGCCACACAGTGGAGTATCACACAGCCGTGAACAGGAGTGAAGCCCACACATCACAACATGGAGTGGCCTTGAGGACAGTGCTCAGTGAGGACAGACACGAGAGTCCACAATGTGCAGTCTCTGACAGAAAACGTGCAGAAGAGGGGAACCAGAGATGACAAATGGATTCAGGGGTTCCAGGCCTGGAGATGAGTGGGGTGATGGGAACGGGAATGGGATTTCTTCTGATGGGATGGAATGTTCCAGAAGCCATTGAATACACAGATACAAATATATTAAAACCACAGAAATGTGCACTTTAAACGAGTGGACGATATAGAACACGGATCAAACACAATAAGCCTACGTTTGCTCTGTAGCCCAGGCTAGCCTCAAATCCATGGCAATCCTTGCCCTGAAGCCTCCCAAGATGACCGGTATGAGCCGCCACACCACCGCCCCCACCCGGGGGCCTGAAAGTGTCTGCAGGTTGGGGTCACCATGCCCTGCCCTCCAGTGTCAGACAAGGGATTGGGGCCAGGGTGATGGATGTCCCTGGAAGCCTGGCCTGGGGCACAACCTCCCTGCCCCCCATGCCCTCTGCCGACATCTGCCCTGAGGGACTGGGGAGCATCTCTGTGGCATGGCTGGAGGCCAGGAGGTCACTTGGGGCCACACCAGAGCCGGGGTGATCTGTTGTGGGGAGCCCCACACACACCCTGACCCCCGCCCTGACAGCGAGCACGCCCTCCCAGAACGCACAGCAGGCTCCCCAGGCCGCGGTCTGCGGAGGAGGCAGACCTGCTTGGAGAATGGGGCTGTGCTGGCGGAGAGGCTGCCCCTGGACCTGGCCAGCCCAGCTTAGAAGGCTCCCGCTCTGCCCCTGGAGACAGGAAGGCGAAGTGACCGGACGACAGGGGTCCCAGCGTCAAGGTCAGGAGGGTCAGAAGACCCCGAGAATGGCCCAGCCTGCCCAGCCCGCCCTAGGGCCACTCTCCAGGGCACGCACATCTCCTTGGACTCAGGAGTCTTGGTCCTGAGTACCCACCCTCTCCACTGTATGAGGGCAGCTGCCATTGTTAGCCCCTGGCTGAGGGAGGCCAGGGCCATCTGGTGTTACCCGGGGAAGGGGAGGCAACTGTCGAGGTACCTGGCAGCTTCCTGGAGAGCCCTGAGTGAACCTGGGTTGCTATGGGGCTGGGCTTCGCAAGACCCACACCTCACAGGGCCCTGTGACCCCACTGCAGCGGTGGTAGCCTGTGTTGGGAGCAGGAGAGGGCCCCATCATGTGTTGGGAGCAGGCTCAGTCAGTCAGCAGCCACAGACATGTCCCCAGCACAGCACCCAGCTAAACCCTGGTAGGGCAGCCTGGGACAGCTCTGAAACCCTTGGTCTCCAGTAAGGTGAGAAAGTCCCCTGGGAGAACCCAGCCCTGGACAAGGGAGGAGGCAGAGGTGGGCACTGGAGCTGATGTCTCAGGGCTCCCCAGGACTCAGCGGGGTGACCAGCACCCTCCTGCACATGATCCTAGCAAGTCAGTGGATCCCAAGGGCCCACACCCGAGAAACCAAGGTTCAGCAAAGCCATTGGCAAGAAGCAACTCAGGCCCATTCTGCCCTTCCCTGGACGCCTCTGGAAGTGCGGCTAGGGGAGGCAAACCCAGTAACTCCCACAGTGGCCTCAACCAACTGTCGGTTAAGGCTGGCCCGGGGAGGCGGCCTGATGGGGTAGGACAGCTGATGTCCTGAGGCATCGCAGGACGGAGAAAGAAAGACAGGGCAAACTGAGGCACTAGACACAGCAGACCATTATGGTTTAGAGTACACTGTGCCAGCAAAGGTCCCCAGTGTGACGTGCACCGCACAGGGAGGGGAAGTGAGGGATCTGCGGAGCCGGGCCACCCTGGACCCCTAATTTCCTGAGACACTGCCCGGGCTGACCTCAGACTTACTATGTAGCCCCGGCTGGCCTTGGACCCCCAATCCTACCTCCACTACATGCTGGGGTGACAGGAAGCACCTTCAATGCCAGTCTAAAGCGTACCCACAGGCCAGTAAGGACAGACATCCCGACTCCACCCCCCACCCCGACAGCCCAGCCACCCATGGGCACGGGGACAGCACTTCATCTGGACACAGGGCTTCCAGGGTGCCCAGGTCCTGCTCACATGTGAGTGTCAATACCCCAGGACACATCAGAACCCAGATCTCAGTAGTCTCTAGCTAATCTTCACAGACCCACACTGGTGAGCATCCCCCCCCACCACCACCCCACCCCACCCCCGCCACTGAAATGTCAGGGCTGGATGCCTGCTCCCTTGGGCCTCCCCTGCAGGGTGCTCTGAGGGTGGGATTCCCAGTGAGGCCCTCTAAAGTCTATACCATGTATCTCCTCCCTGCTGGGTCTCTAGAGGCAAGAGCACAGACCTACTGGGTGGCACAGGATGAGGAGGTTGAGAGGTCCCACTGTGGTTACTGGCTGCAGCATTTGAGGTCCACTTGCTAGGGGAGGGGAACCGGCAGGAGCTGCCCTAGATCTTCCTCGGCCACTCTGAGGTCACACAGCAGGCATCCCCTCAGTCCAGAAGGACCACAGAAACCCCTGCTGGACCAGGAGGTCAGAGGAGAGACGGCTCCCGGCTCCACCTATCCCACCAGACCTGCCTGAGACCGAGTTCTGCCGTAGCCCAGGAGGAGCTGCTGGCAATGGCCCCACGCAAGCTGAGTGTGGAGGGAGCTGGGTCAGCTCTGGCCGCCTACCCCGTGTCTCCTTCCCCAGTCACCCCATGCCGGCTACTACCCCAGCACCAAACCAATGGCTTACAAAGTCTGGCATGCTCACTGAAACTTGCCAAGAAAAGTACAGAGTGGGCAGGGCTGGGGGTCCCGCGCCACAGCTCGGCCACCTGTGGGAGCTCAGGGGCGCCACAGGTGGCTCTGGGTGGCCCTGCTGGTCCCTGGCAGGTTACCTTGTTGAGCGCGGCAAACTGCAGCCAGAAGCGCAGCTGCGACATGGTCGGGGCGTGGGGCGCTGGGCGGCCGCTGGGTCCCCCTGGAAGAGCTGCTGGGGAGCCGCAGCCTCATGACCGCGGGCGGAGGCAGCGGGCTCAGCAGCTCCGTGGGGCACGGAGGCAGCAGCGTCCCGCCGGCCCCATTTGCATGAGGGTTAGTCACCGGCTCCGACTTCCCCTAAGGCTGGGCTGAGTTTCAGGAAATGATGCCTGCCTGGTAAGTCAGGGCAGTTACTGGCAGAGTGCGGAGAATTACTGTAGGGGGCGGATCGGCCCAGAAGGGCTGTCAACAACGGCGCACCCTGCTGGGCCCAGCTCCGGGTCTGGCCCCACTCCTGGGGCATCCCATGAGGGTGGGGGACGAAGCCTCGGCTCCCCCAGGGCTGGAGGGACACTGTAGGAAGCTGAGCTAGGGAACTGAGGTCTGGGCGCCTTTCTATTCCTCCCTTAAGCTGAGCTCCTCAGCCCTTCATCCAACCATACTCTCAAGCTTCCTCACCCCAGGGCCACAAGGGGTCCTTCCTGATGTCCCTGAAGGAGCTGGGGTGTCAGGAGACCCCAGGGCCAAACCACGAGGGAGAAGACCCTTCCCCTGTAGGCAGGCAGGGATGCAGCACAGAGGTGTGATCCCCACGGGGCTATAGTCATGCACAGCTGTCAGCGTCGTCCCCCCCCCCGCACCCCCCCCAGGCTGCTCCTCTTAGAGGGAGAGGTATCCCTGAAGAGGGCCAACAACAACGTCAGAGCTCCTGGGAAGGAGGCTCAGGATCCCAGGCCGTCAGTATCCCATCCACGGACAAAGAGCCCTGGCCACCTTGTCAGAACCAGGGGGCCACAGGTTCTCTAGATTCTCACACCCTTGGCCACCCAGGACAAAGGCCCCAGAAGCAGCAGATGGAGCAAACCCCTGTGCCTGGCCCTCAGTGACCCTGGCAGCATCAGCCCTACCCAGGAGCCCCCGTCCCGGCGCAGGCACTGAGCAAAGTGTCAATTCCAGTCATCAAAGTGAAGCCAGGCATGGTGGAGCATGCTTGCCATCACCCTTGAGAGGCTGAGGCAGGAGGATTGCGAGAAGAGCCTGGGCTACACTGCAAGAGCCTATCTCAGCAAACGTAAAACAGAAATGAGAGTGGGTCAACACCTCCAAAGACAGCTAGACTCAAAAGTCAACAACGCCAAGTGCGGGCCAGGATGTGGGGAGCTGACGCCCAGAGACCCTGGGGAAGCAGACGCATTTGCAGACACTCGTGGGGAAACTAGGAGCACCCACAGCAGTGAACCAGTCATCGCCCAGCAATGCACACAGCACGCTTTGTCCAAGGCAGGAGTGTCACACAGCCATGCACAGGAGACCGACTCCAGCAGGACACAGCAGGAGGAACCTTGAGGACACAGAGCTCATGGGGAACCAGACACCAGAGCCCACGGGGCTCCCGGGCCGGGTGTGAGACGGAGTCGCCTCTCACAGGGACACACTTGCCTTGGAGGAGACAGGATGGTCTAGAACTGGATAGAGGTGAGGCCTGCCTGCGTCTATAAATAGACTCTATGCAGCCAAGGCTACCCCTGAACTCCTGATCCTCCCGTGGGAGGTCAGTGTACTCTGAAAGGACCATCTTTACAGCTGCGTGAATTCTGATGGAAAAAGAACTGTCAGCCAGGTGTGGTGGCGCAGGCCTTTAATCCCAGCACTCGGGAGGCAGAGGCAGGCGGATCTTGAGTTCGAGGCCAGCCTGGTCTACAGAGCGAGTTCCAGGACAGCCAGGGCTACAGAGAGACCCTGTGTGTATGTGGTAGTGGTGGTGATGGTGGTGTGTGTGTTGGGGGCGGGGTTTCAGGAGGACAGGGACAGGCGAACCGATGTGAAAAAGCTCAAGTCCCAAACAACCCACGTGTGAGGCCTGAGGGCGCTCAAACCATACTCTCAAGCTTCCTCACCCCAGGGCCACAAGGGGTCCTTCCTGATGTCCCTGAAGGAGCTGGGGTGTCAGGAGACCCCAGGGCCAAAC